TGAATTTGAACGGATGGTGTTTTTGGCCTCTGGGGACATCAAAACGAAAAAGTGAATCGGTCCCGAATCTAGGTCTTACCATGAGACCTACGGTAATAGCTTATTACCTATATGGGAAATTTTAATACACATGTGTACCGTTATGCCACAGGCTCATTTGAAATCAACCCACGAAGAGGCTGTTATCATAATGGCACAACAGATAATTAGTGATGGATAGTTACCTTGTACAAAACAAATAATGTTAGTATGTGACGATACCAATGCCTTTAATTTGGTTTGGTGGTCTGTGTAGTTGGTTTTGAAGTACTAACAATTACAAAGGTTACTCATACAATTATCCATTGCATTTTATAACTATGTTTACTAATGAATCTGTGTAATACGTCATGGGTATTTATTTACATGTTTTTAGTTATTAATAACTTCAATTTAAAAAATTATGCTAAAACCATGAGGTGAACAAAAATTACTGAAGACATATTTTTAAAAATGTTACGCTCTTCATTTCATGCCTCTTCCCACAAATTTCTAAAACTAACAGTTTTTAAGTATTTCGATTAAAACCAGTTTTGGCCGCCATTAATCCAATATGGCGGCGTTTGCCCAAAGTGGTACCCGACATATTCGTAATCAGTGCAAAAAACTGAATCAGAATCAGTCAAAAAACCTTTGTCCACCCATATTTCCAGGTCATTGTAAATTATAATGGGTCGGCCCCCAGACTAATACCATTGGTGCCATCCCCAGATAGTACTTTTTAGATGGGTAATTTTGTAAAAAAAACCACAAGCTAAATTGACATTTATTTTACTGTACCTTTAAGTACATATGACCCAGGGGCATAATATACACACAATAAACTCGACAATATATGGGATGATATTCAGGATACAAACGATTTATTAGTCATAAGAACCCTTAAAGTAAATTGCAAAATGACTCAGACAGAGTGAGCTCTTACTTTTATCACAGCTACAATGACAGAGGCATGCGTGAGAGCATCGACACGGTCAAGGTTGTCATTACAGCCACAAAACATACAATGATACACTAAACAGATCTTTGCACTGTGAACTGAATAAACACGCCGTGTATCTAGAGTTGACAGAACAAGTATTTTCAGTTGGCGATACTGCCTTATAGTCCCTGGCAAGCGCATCTCACTCAGGGCCGGATTTAGCATTTTTGCGCCCCTAGGCCCAAATAATTTTCCGCCCCCTAGTCTGGTCACAGTTACTTTCCTTCAAACCTTTATTAAAAACTATATCACGCCCATAGGCCTAAGTTAATTGCTTGAATATTACTCCTCGCCGGAATCATTGCAAGTTTTTTTTTATTGATTGTTTAGCCTTAACAAAATGCCGTCTTAAACACTGTTGGCAATTTTATGCTTTTAATAAATGCTCACGTTTGTGGCAGTGGGACTGAAACAAAACAACTCAAACCACCGAGAATTCCTGAAAAAAAAAAACATGGCCATTGATTCAAATTCCAGGCCCAAAAACCTGAACTCCATACAGTATGTGATACCATAGATTAAACATAGGCTACTCCTTTAGTAGATTTGTCATAATTTTGGATTAACTGAAAACAATTCTTGTTATTTAAGGAGTATGTTTTACCTATGTTTAAACCTAGTTTATCCAAAATAAAACGATCTAATCATCAACAATCGTCTCCTGTTTATATTACAAGAAATTAAAACACACATCATAGAACTAACCCTAAAAAAATAGAAAGGAAATTACGTCAAAACTAACGTCCAGTATCACCAACATGAACTAGACATGAACAAATTTTGAATTAACAATGTCATAAGAAGTCGACTTGAGTTATATATAATCTATGGTCGTACTGTATCTAGGTTATATTTCCAAAGCAAAACAGAGCAATACTGCCAACCATACCGATCCTTAGGTCTGAGGAGAAAATGACAGCATTTATGATGGTGCTTTGGAGGGTATTGAATGTTTTTAAAATCTAATGCAAACTGAGATTAATATTTGTTCGTTAAATTTAAACGTAAATTAATCGTTTTAATATTCAACACTACGTATTATATATTTTAACTTGATCCTGCAGATTGTTGTAAACTAATCAAAAGATTAGTTAATAACTTTTATTTTGTGAAGTGAGGGTGGTAACAATGTCTAGCACGCATGTGCCCCTAATCACTATGATCAGTAGTGCCGAGCCCGAGCCTGAGGAAGCCGAGCCAGCATAGTGGCCCAGTGCAGTGGCAATACGATGCGTTAACCCTTGGGCGCTCATCAACGTCAACATCCCTACAGCCTACTCCCGTATAACCATTAACCAATGTTCGTTAGCAATTTTGTAACGAAATTGATGCGTAATTCTGAAAAATATTTTAAATTTCATAACAATAATTTCTTCTTATGAACTTCGGAAGTTTTTTTATCAACTATGACTATTTATTTTTATTTTTAGATAGCCTATAAAAAAATTCCTCTTGGCCGTGCGCCCTCTGGGACCTTGCGCCCATAGGCCCGGGCCTACCGGGCCTATTGGGAAATCCGGCCCTGATCTCACTCCATGATTCCCCCAAATTGTGCCGCGTATTTGTACCCCACCCACATTTCTCAAGTCGACACTGTGACATTACGATCAACTCTCTTGTCTTTGAAGGGGATTCTCTTTTTAATAGTTTAATTTCACAAGTAACCAACAAAACTGACAATAAAATAAATAGTCAACAACGAGGGTTTTCGTACTTGTCTATAAATTTTATTTTTCAACTAACTGCTAGGCTCTCACTTTTTAATTGTTGTTAGGCATATCAACTGTGCTGGCATTGAAATTTGATGATGTCTATCAAGAATCGCCGCAATGAATAACGTAAAGTCTTATATAACTTACAAAAATAAGTTTTAATTTGTCTACCAACTAGTAGGCTTCCACTAAGGTATTTAATATTGTTGTTAGGCATATCAAATGTGCTGACATTAAACTTCGAAGATGCCTATCAAGCTCTCAATTGAAGTGTTATTAACTAAAGTAAAAGTATAATACAACTTATGAAAATAAGTTTTCAATTACCATGACATGTATATCTAATAAATTTAACAGCCTAAATTAACTAATATGTCTGCAAACCTTGAGAGGATATTGATAAATCCAACCAGATTTTTTTATTGATTTTTTAATATAATATGATACTGTATTATTTAATAAATAAATCCTCCGTCAAACACTTTTTAGCGAATTTCCCTATAAGGAAGTAGTTATTACCGTAAGTGGCACCGGTAAGACCTAGGCCCGGGACCAATTTACTTTTTCATGTTGATGTCCCTAGGGGCCAAAAACACTATTCGTACAAATCTTAACAAATTTCCCTATAGGGAAGTATCTATTACCGTAGGTGGCACGGAAAGATCTAGGCCCAGGACCGATTTACTTATTCATTTTGTGTCCCCAGAGGCCAAAAACATCATTCGTTCAAATTTTTATATATGTATATGTATACTAGCTGAACCCGGCAGACATTGTGGCCTTTGACTATTTATAATCCCGCGGGCTTTGCCCCGTTTAACTTCTTAATTTTCAAGATGATCTCGTTCGCATGGCTCAATCACGTCCTGGTTGAAGTTCGTTCGCTACGCTCACTCACCTTTAGATTGGAGCTCGTTCGCTACGCTAACTCGCCTCCAGATTGAAGTTCGTTCGCTACGCTCACTCACCTTTTGGTTGCAAATTTGCTGTTGTCATAAATGTAATAAAAGAAATAATAGTGCTGCACCCTGTTGGTAATCCTTGTAACTTTAATGCTATTGAACATCATAGAACAGAACCAACTTGTTTAATTGAAACTGCTGTTATGATTCATTAATTCCATTTCTCATAAGGTTAACATGGGAAACTCCAGAGCCACTGGGGCGGAGCCGATTGGACGGATCACGAAATTGATGGTGTATAAACCTATTCCATGACATTCTACACGTATGTACCAAGTTTCGTGGCAATCGGTTCAGCGGTGTCTGAGTTTATCACTGCCAAACAAACAAACAAACAAATATATATACAAACATCCTCTTTTATACTTATAGATATCTATGTATGTGTGTGTGTCCATGAACGATATCTTGAATAATTTCTGTCCGATTTTGATTAAATTTGGTTTGAAGGTATAAGGCGGGATAAACTTAAATGAGTTCGCGAACCAGTATGATCAGACCATGGGAACGGGGTTTTTTATGGAGTACAAATTGGTTTTTCTAATTTTTAACCCTCAAAACACAAGTTTTCCCAATTTATCTCTACATCTTTTTGAAAAGCTTAGAAAACAAATAATTTAGTATATTAAAGTGGTTTTGTACGGTTATTGGTTACGGAGAAAATTCGAGAAAATTCAAAAAAATGTTAATTTAAAATTACCATGTTATTCTTATGGAGAATGTTGTAGTTTGCTTGTTTATGGATATATGTTGAAGAAATTTGGTAGATTTATTTATTTTATACTAAGCTATTAATATATTCCAAAAAAGAGACTTTATTAGTTTCCCTGTAGCAGTAAACCTATGTAGTCGTTAAACGTAAATGTTAATTAAATAGATTTAATTGAAAATCAATTCAGGTAACTTAAATGGAAATTCGCTTAGTCGGCAAGTTTGCTGCGGTGGGGGTATTTATATCTTTCCTGCTAATATATTTAAATTTAATGGATTATAAATGCTGGGTCGGTTTTTGCTTATTTTAAAATAAGTATTTTTCACACTATCAATAAGTTTACTTTTTTAAATCCATTACATTACAATTTTACTGAATATAATTTTAAAACATGTTAGTTTTTCCGAAATTGTTTAACAGCGAGAGGGAATACACAAAAAAACCCCAACCTCGTCTACAACCTCCAAGCTAGTCTTGCCTATCTCTCTAGTAATATGAGAAACTATTTTTTTACTAGAAAAGGTAAAAAATTCCACTATAAAACCAACAACTAATATTTTATGTAAGTATAAATAACAATCAAAATGGTTTACTTAGAAAAATGTAATGTTCTCCATTCCCTCAGGCATGTAAGTAAGGTTTGAAGAACTCTTGTCCCTCATGTTGTATCCAGTACCATATCCTGAAACATCAATTTTCATCAAATTGTTAGATGTTAGATGTTAGGTATGCTTATTTATTCTTTAACAACATCTTATGATAAAGGTCTAAAGCTAAACGTGCGATTGACATTTTTAAATTATATCTTTTGTATCCTGTGATAAAATTATATTTTTTTTTTTATTGGCTTAAAGAAATAATGAAAAAAACATTCCTATTTATATTTGTATTGTTACTATTTAATTTATAGATAAGATAAGATAAGATTTAAAGATAATTAATAGAACAATGACATTCAAGCCAAAATCTAAAACAAAAATATTTGTTTTATAATCCTAATCAATGTTGAATAGTGTATTGAATTACAACAACATAACACTAACACAATGCATTGTGAGCTTGAGACAAACACTGTTAGTAAATTGATGTCCTTAGAGAAACGCAAACGGCAAAAGGATAAAAGTTCAAATCAATACTCGTGTATCAAATCAATCAATTCTCATGTTTGCCTGCCATGTGGATTGGGTGTTTGGCAGAAAGTTTTGATGGTGAAAGTTACTGCAGTAAACTTGAAGTGTTTTGTTAAAGCAGAGTTTCCCGTTTTATACGTGAAATATGTACTTACACTCAAACCTAATTTTTTATTTCCTAAGATTAGTAGGTATTTTACCAGTAACCAAGAAACAATTGACTAAAAAAAGATTATTTGTAATAAGTTCTTGTGCATGGAAAATTTTTTCAAGTTTTTTACTGCTTTTTTTCTCTGCAGTGTATTTTTTGCGGTTTTATGACGGACTGAGAAGAGACATGATACATACAGCATTTTCAAAGCAGCTGACCAATAAAATGTCTAAACTAGCATTTAATGTTAACATGCTATCTACCTATGCATGTCTTGCAGTTTGTCTGGTGGTGGCAATAACTAAAACACAAGAAAAAATAGCCATGCAAGATACGTTAAGAGAAGTAGACTTCTTGTTACATAGTAAAAACTTGTTTAGAAGTACACACACTATTTCCTATCTCATAATACTGCATACAATAATCATAACAGTTCATGGTTGCACATGGCAATACAGTTGTATAAGTTATGACATGGTTGGCCAGCTTGCACGGATGACCATAACTATGGCATTGGTGGAATATATGGATTTAGTACTCGGCATTAAAAAAATATTTCAAGAAATAAACAAAAACATAACAAAAAATATCAAGGAAAGCCACAACCGTATTACATTATGGACAGTGACACTGCCTTTGGTTGAGACTTGTTTCCCGCAGCTAAATACTCGTGGTCCTAGCCTATCAGAACTGAATGTGGCCCACTGGACCATCTGTCATATAGTTCGTACCACAAGTAAAATTTATGGCACACAATTACTGAGTATGATGTTTTTCTTTTTTACACATCTGGTGTTCAGCACTTATTTTGTTCTGCTGTTGAGATCACTCAGTAAAACTGATAAGCTGTTGATATTGCACGTTAACTCGTTAGTGAGTTATATAGTGCAGTTGTATATGTTAGTTTGGCCTTGTTCTATGGCTGTCTCGGAGGCCGAAAAATCTGCTGAAATTGTGGGCCGACTCATGCACCATAAAATGAACAAACAAATGTTTATAGAAACTGAGAATTTATTGGCTCAAATATTAAAGAGAGTACCTGAGTTCACGGCACATGGACTACTAACCGTACGTACTTCTGTGGTTATAGCAGTAACAAGTGCTGTCACAACTTACATGGCTATTCTCATGCAGTTTCAAATCTCTGATTCGCCAGTGTAAAAACACCGCTTCTTCACTAAATCAAGTTATATTTTATTGCTAGATATTAATTTATTTGAAAAAGAAACTAACTGTAGTTTTAGGTTTGTGCATTTGAACTGCTTTTGGGGCTTTATGCAGATAAATAACAAATTAAAAACAGAGTGACACAGAGTCTTTTAAAGAACTTCCAATACTCAAGCAATGATAAGAATTGCATAAAAACTTATGAGGTAGGGCCTACTGTAGATAAGAGTGAAAGTAATTACTGCGCCAGATATGTGACTAGCCATTAACGACGTAAATCATGACACAACATATTATCTAGTTAGTGCCTTAGGACATTTTTCCCCATTGTTAACAAAGGCACAACATTTTTCCTCTTACTACAAATACAACATGCTTTGCTTACCATGTGATGTTTCTCTCATACTTGGCCTTAGTATTTCAAAATGTTCATCAAGGATCAACCAGCATAACATTATATTTATAGAACAGAAAAACTAAATAGAAAAAATCTGTTTGTGTTTGATCTGTTGCTGATGATTGAAACTAATTTATTAGGATTAATTTGCCTTTAACTATATGAATATGATTTTTAATGTATTTTGATAATTATTAACTCCAGATTACATTCTAAGTTGATATTGATTTATTACTAGAATTATTCTATAATGAGATATTTGAGTCTTGTCTTATTGGATTTCTTTAAACTCACTTTTTATTGCTTTATTTTCTTTTTAGACAGTATTTTTTTTTTTTTCTGAACTGTTTTTCAACCTATAATCCAAGACAGAGACAGAAGTATCCTGTTTCTACACAAGTAATACATTTCTATTAATTAAGTTATTTTTAAAAGTGTTTGACAAAATTGTTATGCACAGAATGAATAAAATAAACAAAATCGTTTTCTAGGGGACAGTACACACATTTTTAAGAACCAGGGCCAGCTTTCAGTATAGGCCACACAATGTAGTACTTACTACAGTAAATGACTCACCTAGTTGTTTCATGAGCTTGGTGGGAGCATTGCGAAGATGGAGAGGCACTGAGGGCAAGGCTCCCTTGTGATTCCTTACACACTGTTTTGCTGCATTAAACGCATCATAAACCACACGAGACTTAGGAGCTCTAAAATTAAAGAAAATTGGTGATAGCTTTGTATTCTACATAAGTAGATCCGTAACAAGTATTTCAGCCCTTTGACCTCCAAAAACCAATAGATCAAACACAAAAGTAACATAAAGAAATGAGTAACATGTGCTGTTGAGAGAGTGAAGTTTAAATCTAAGTTCAACTTTGGGTTGACCAGTGTTGTTAGTGCAGTGGAGCAGAATATTGGGTCTAATTAATAACTAGACTACCAAACAATTGTACTCTCAGGATTCTTTAAATAATGAAGATAAATAATTCTTGAAACTATGCAACATTGTCAAAGAAATAGGAAGAGACCTTCCAGATAGATCAGACCTGTGTGAAATAAGCTGCAGCACATACATAGAATTGCTATTGCACAAAGCTTCTACAAAGATAGTACGATTGAAAATCATGATTTTGAAATGAAATGAAATGAAAATCCTTCTTTATTGAGGCGAACTTAGGACCTCATGGTCCTTTCTTACAGTTAACCTCTAAATAATAATAGTAATAACAATAATACATGATGTGAACAAAAGTAAAATACACATTTCGTAACATAATTAATAATAAACAACATAACATACATTTCTTTTCCTAGCATACAGTCACACACACATACACTCTTTGCAGCAGCTAAGCCTAACGCACGCCATCCCGCCACGCCACTACCATCCGGTTGAGATAATATTCTTTCAGTGTCGCCTTCAGTCGGGATCGGTTTTCTATGGCTTTAATGGCATCGGGTATAGAGTTCCATAGGCGGAATGCTGTGACTACAAATGATTTATTATAAATAGTTGTTCTGTGACGAGGAATGCGCATTTGCGCAACATAGACGAGCCAGAGCGAGTATCCCTTGCACCTCTTTCATTCAAAAATTCATAATTCTTTGCAATGTAATTTGGAATTCCAAGATTGATAGCCGAATGAGTGATTGAAAGTATTCGGAGTTTTCTGAGGTCATCTAATTTCAAAATTGATTCATTTATGTAATAAGGTGTGACGTGGTCGTCCTGCCTAAGGTCAAACAGAAATCTAATACAATAATTTTGTGCACGTTGTAGTTTTGTTGCCAAAGCCACAGTCATATCATTAACCGCAGTGTTGCAGTAATTGAAGTGTGGAAACACAAGTGATTTGACCAGTAAGAGTTTAATGTGAAAAGGAAGGAGTCGTTGCATCTTCTTCATTGTGTGAATGGCGGCAAATACTCTTTTACAAGTATCTACCACCGCGTCAGTCCAGTCTAATGTACGGTTCATCAGCAATCCAAGACTTTTGATTTTGTTTTAATATTGCAAAGTAATTCCATTTACAGTGAGTTTTGGTAAATTGTCTTCTTCAAGTTTGTTTAGTAACCGTAAGTGACCTATAATGATTGGTTTTGTTTTGTCAGGATTGAGTCTAAGTCCATTCTGTGCATTTTGCAATCAAGGGAGACAAATAATTTTGTTTTTCATATCACGTGAACGCAGGAAATGTTGATATCTCCAAGGTCAAAGGAGGTGTTCTCAAAGGCTTCACAAAGATAGGGAACTATGCACCTATTCTGTATGTATCACCGCATGTAAAAAATGTTAAGTGCAAATTAAATATGTCTACGTCTATGATGCTGTCTTTGCAACCGCTGAAGATGTTCACAATGTTGCTGTGAACTCAGGAAATTATCACGATATCACAAGAACATGGTCGTTGGAAACAGTGAAGTCTCCAAGATCGCGGAAGAAGTTTACGTTTCTGCTGCAACTGCGTAAGATGTTCACAAAAGCTATAGTAGCAGGAGACGTTCATGAGTTTGAGGCGACCATGGGAAACACTTACGATTTCACCGTGATTGTGAGAGATAATGACCGATTAAAAATTTAAAAACCGATTGTAGTATGGCAATTAATATTTTGAAAAATCAATACCTACCAATTCAACCTTATTTTGGCGTTAGACCCAAAGGTAACTTATTTACCCAACACGACTGAAGGTAAAAGTTTATAGTCTGGAAAAACCTAATGTTAAGAGTCTTCATCACCCTAGGTGTAGTTCCGTTTTGGGGGGATAGCCTTGGGGGGAAGGTGATGTGGACGGGCGGGTAGCGCGGGGTCATTATGCGCGCCTTTCTGAAAACATCGTGTAAACAAACTACTACTAAAAACACGACTCCGCACCTACGCACGCGCAGCGGCAAACTTATCTACCGTTGGACATTGACTAAGGAAATAAAATGTTTCCCTTGTCTGTGCCTTGGACATCGAGCAGTACGAGCCAGGGCTAGAGATATACATGTATGTATATATGTATATGTATATCTCTAGCCCTGAGTACGAGCACAGAACATATCGATCTTACATCACTGGCTGTGAGGAGCCCTTGTGGCAAGCGCAACTAATTAAATGTTTGTTAATATTAATAATATGAGTAACATTATGCCTTGGCATTATGGATATTTCCATTAATACAATGACCTTCTAAACTAGCTTTTAAATTTTTTCTAGGAAAACTTTATAATTTTAATAATGTACGTTTGTACCATGACTTAGCTATGCAATATGTATTGTCAATTTTAGCTAAATAAAATGATTTGATTTGATTTGATTTGATTCTAGCGAATGCCGTTTCGACTGTCTTATTAATTGTTATAGAGGAGCTAATTTTTTCACCACACTATGATGTTTTTAGCTGTTTTAAATAAGTTAATTGGTGGCTGAAAATTACGTTTTGCTGGACATGCCAGCTGTCATCGTCATTTGGGGACCGAGCAGGTTTTTATATCGCTAGGGCCGCAAAATCAGCTGCCCGCTTGCTTTCTTAAAACATGAATGCATATTCAAGACACAATAAGTATCCATAGCATTGCGATTTTTGTTTATTGTCACCGCTGCCTAACAACTGTTATTATTATTTTTGCTGATTACTCAAATTATTTCTTCACATAACCTTAAAGTTATAGTTGTGTTGACTATCAGTGTGCATTATTATTGTGGTGCATGGTGGTAATAGGGTATAGGTAGTGTGGTGAAAAATAGCGTTTGTACCACGGACCGAAATGGTTTTACAGCTCTCGATCGTTTTAAGTTCGAAACGACTATCTGGAGCCGGCAAAACCTAATTTTCGGCCCTAGGTACGTAATATACTATATTTGCATATGATTACATAGAATAAAACGATGGAAATTTTAATTTGATCCGTGTTTTTCTAAGTAGCTTAGTAACTTTTCTTAGTTCCAAACTTTTCTAAACAGTAGTAAAAGCACAGAAAACATACTACTATAACCGGTTAGTAGTAGTTTTCTGTGGTAAAAGTGAGATTGTAGGCAGAATCTGCCCGCACGACGCGACGTGGCGTGGCAGCCCCTCTCATATAACATTACAACCAAACTACATCGACATTTCGTACTTCCGCTGTAATCGCTGTAGTTGAGCACTAAATGAATGAAAATGTCGAGCAAAATCAGTTGAAAAATGTACGCACAAAACTGCCAAACAAATAGGCATTCTGTTTCTGTGAACCAAATATATCATTGGCATTAGATACAGCAAGTAGACATTTAATTTAGGGTAACCAGATGAATCATAGACTTTGGTTCCTTCAAGTAGACAATTCATTTACGTGAACCTGCGTTTAAAATTGACTTTGGGTACTGCAAATAGACATTCCATTTATGTAAACCAAATATACCATTTACTTTGGATACTGCAAGTATATATATCTCATTTACGAGAAATAGATGTATCATTGACTTTAGAAGAATATTGCATCAATGCTAACTCCGCTCAATATTGCAAGCAGACAACTGCATTGTACACCTAGTATATAAGTAGATTTCTACCTTATTGCAGTGGTACCACCCGCTTTTTAGGATATCTATATATATAAAAGGCAAAGCCCTCACTGACTCACTCACTCACTCATCACTAATTCTCTTACTTCCTATTTACCTAGGAGGCTGAAATTCGGTACACTGATTCTTTAGGCATTAAATAGGAAAACTAAGTAGTTTTGATTCTGATCGGACTCTCGGGCTCCACCCCAGTGGCTCTGGAGTTTCCCATGTTAACCTTATGAGTACTCATATTTAAATGGAATTAATGAATCTTAACAGCTGTTTCAATTAAACAAGTTGGTTCTGTTCTATGATGTTCAATAGCATTAAAGGTACAAGGATTACCAACAGGGTGCAGCACTATTATTTTTTTTAATTTATGACGACAGCTAATATGCAACCCAAAGGTGAGTGAGCGTAGCGAACGAGCTAACCTGAAGGCAAGTGAACGCAGCGAACGAGCTCCAACGTAAAGGTGAGTGAGCGTAGCGAACGAACTTCAACCAGGACGTGCGAACGAGCTCACTTATGAAGTTAAACGGGGCAAAGCCCGAGGGTACAGCTAGTTTTCAATAAATTTATACATAGTACCAATTTATAGGAAATTATATTTTCTTTCAGAATATCACCTCACTTTACTCGGTTTCCCCCATCATAAAAAAAAAAATATTTTGCAAAATAGTAACAACAAAAACAAATCAAGCCCTGCACACACCGATACTCCGTGCGATACTGGAACGGGCGCGATACTTTTTCTTGGAAATTGTTTTGCGATACCAGTGGTCCGTGCGATACCCTGGTGGCCTATGGAGCCGCACAAACCAGAGCGAACCACGAAACGCGATACCGAGACGAATGCGATACCGTAGCAACAGTATCGCGGTAATCAATCAATTTTTACGTGTTCGTAAACTGGCAGAGCGACAATTGTAATAGTTGCAGTCGTAAAACACGTTTTATTCACTGAAATATATAATTATCCATATAATAAAGTATCTCCTTCATAGGTGCATGAAATTTTGCGCATTTTTTGTCACTGAATTATTTTCTATTACACCACTGGTGCTGAAGTTATCATCTGTTATTTTTCGACTTTCTGAATATTTAGTCGAACTAACGAACCTCAATCTCTGTTGACCAATAACTAACAAGTCGAGTTTTGCTGTGATTTTAATT